AAACAACAATGTTTACAAAGGAGACTTGATGAGGCATTGGTTAAGTGGTTGGTTGCCAACAGAAAAGTGAGGGGTTAGAACCCACCATTCACTCTGCAGGAAGAAACCTGGCAATCTGATCTCATAAATATTGCAGTTTAGGGAAACCTATGGGAAAGTTCTACTCTGTCAAGTTGGGTACTATGAATTGGAATTGACTTGAGGACACACAACGGCATATGTGATTGGATGTCACACAGGCATCTCCAACTTACTATGTCCAATATAGAATTCCTGATTTATTTTTCTTCCCTAGTCTTTTCCTTTATAGTAAAGAGCACCATCATCTATCTACCCTAATTGATAAGCCCAGAAATATAAGAATTGTCTTAGGTTCCTTTTATGTCTCTCATAAATTTCATGCGTTAGTCCTGAATGATCTTTGCCAAAATGTATCTTGAATGAAATTGCTTTCATCTATGGGGATCCAAGCTTACATCATCTTTCACTTGACGTACTCTTCCTGACTAGTTGTACTGTTTCTAGTCTTGCCTATCCACGAATCTGTTCTCTACTCAGGAGCCAGTGTGATCCGTTAAGAATGTTAATGAGACTACAGGACATTCTACCTAATAATAATAATAATCCTCCAAAGAGATACATTTTTTGCACCTACACAAAACTCAAATTATTTATACCATATCCTGTGAACCTTGTACATCTTTCCGTCTCGATCCCACACCACTCTTCCCATTACTTATAATGCTTGTTCCAGTTACATATTATTTCCTCTCAGTTTTTTCCCATCAACTTTTTCTCCTTAACTGTATATGTCATTGTCTTTTATATTATCCTGGATTGTTCTTGCTCCAGCTATTTGTATGGCTAGCTTGCTTTCATCTTTCAGGCTTCCTTCAAGGAGACTTTTCCTAGCTATTTCATATAAAGTAATTTCTTTCTGTTATGGTACCTTGTTTCCTCCTTTATACCACTTATTAACAGTCTTTAATTGACTACATTTTTAACTGCCCTATTTTTAATGTTTGCTCCATGAGAACAGGGACAGTTACTGATTCCCATTGCTTAGAATATTGCCTAACATTCAATAGATAATTAATTGTTGCTGACTAGATTAAAGAAAAGAAGGGAATAGGAATATTAACTTAATAGCAGTGAGTTTAGACTATTGCCTAGTATGAAGTAGACAATTGTTGCTGACTAGGTTAAAATAAAGAAGCGAATGGGAGCATTAGCTCAGTAGCAGTGAGCTAAACTAAGTAAAAAATAGAAACTTCCGAATGTCAGACTTCATGAAGTATTCCCATAATCTTGATAAAAAATAAGGAAAATGATGATAGGCAACAAAAACACATAAAAAAATGCTGGAAAGCATTAAAACCTTTACGGAAAAGAGGGGCACAATATATGAGCCAATAGTTAATTCAAGAAATTACAAATGACTTATATGTAAAGGAAGTACTTTTACCCAGCATCCAAAAAATGCATATTAAAGAATGTTTCTTCAAATTTTTGAAGATTAGGAAAATATTATGTAGGTTGGGATAAAAGCATTCACATACATATGTGGTGGGCTTGTAAATTTGGTGTAGTTCTTCTTGAATGCTTTATGACAGAGATTCCCAGTCTTTCTTTGTTCATGGCACTCTGATAATCTCAGTACTTTTTACATTGCAAAGTAAATACCTAATAGTTACATTATTAAATAATTAGCTCTGAAGAGTAGCTTTACCACCTGTGTTGAACAGATGATACCGTATTTTCCTCAAAAATGTGAAAATATTCCCTGTTAGAAATGTAAGTATTCCACGTTGTCTTTGTGAATTATATATGCTGGCCTGGTGTGTATTGTGGTCCACAATTTGGGGGTTGTGGACTATAGAAATAAAGTCACTAACCATATTTAAGAAATGTTATACTCTCTTCTAGGAGTGTCTCCTAATAGTCAGAAACAAAGATTTATGGACAGAATTCTTTCTCTCAATAATAACCGCTAAATGTTGGTATAATTACTTCAGGTAGTTAGGTGTTCTTGTTTGGGGTTGTAAGTTCCTTTCAGACAAGTCTAAATACAGACTTTCCCACAGGGGATACAGACCATTGGTTTTAGAACTGCTGCAGAGTGAAAGCATTTCTAGTTTTGAAATTTTAGTGTCCTATTTGAATACCTAGCATTGGATCTTTTTTTTTTTTTAATGTTTTATT